TGCGCAGGTCCATTAGACATTGTCGTTCGAGTGCAGTTGCGTAGTCCCCAGTCTCGATTTCGCTGAACGACGTGCGTCACACCAGAAACAGTCGGTGGATTTTAACGTCATTGGCTCCCCCCCTGGAGCCCACTTAGAATGCGGTGCCGTGCGCACGTGGAGTGCCCCTGACAGCTTTCCTTAGAGGGCGTTGTGTTAAAAGGGTGTCATGTCAATCTTCGAATGCTTCGCGTCGCGCCCTTCCCGCGTCGCCACGGCTGAATTCGCTTCGAGATACTGGTCAGAACGCGACCCAAAGGAGTAGCGGTATCGGTATCTTGTGGTCCCCCCAGGTCTTTGCTGCGGCCCTCGGCCGTGCGCGCGGGGGCGAGGGCATGGGTGCCGGACCCGTGGGCTGGCCGAGGCTGAGGTCGGGCAGTGTCAAGGGGGGTCACCACTGGCGACTAGGGGGATTTGCAATTTTTTCCGCGAAATCGGAGTTCCAGGACGGATGTTCGAGGCTCGTCGTTTTTGGGGAAACAGCTTGGGGTTGTTTTGGAAGGCTCTGGGGTGCTCTTGGAGGCCTACTTCCTCGAGGCAACGGCAACCCCCCGAATGGTGCCCCCCCATGGCATTGCCTTGGGAGGGAGGCCCTGGCATCCTCGCGTCGTGGAGTAATCGCGGCGGAAGGTGTTTTGTTTGCCGTTTTCGCCGCTTGGGGGGGCCCTCACCAGGCCCCCGGGGTATCAGACAATGCAGACAATGAGCTACGTCGTGAACAAAGTCTGGGGGGTGCGAGGAGGGTGCGTGGTGAGGCAGGAGGAAGAGGGAGGGCGGGAGCGATGGAGTGGTGGAGCCAGCTTTCCGTTGGCGAGGGCAGCCTCCCTGGGGCTCAGGGCGGACGCGACATCGGCCGGTTGAAAGCCCAGGGGCGTGCAGGCAGAGAGGGCAGAGATCCACAGCACCTCACCACTGGCCATTGTCTTCCAACTCCGCCTCCGACTCATCCGCGGGGGGGGGGGGGCAAGAGGGGGGCGATGACTCGGGGGGGAGGGTATCATGTCCAGGGCCAGGACATCTCCCCAGATTTCATGGCCCCCTACTCCTATCTCGATGCATGTCTCTGCAACCCCCTGGGCCACGCAAGGGCCTCGGGTCATGGTTTGGGAGCCCCCCTCTTGGACGACCCCTCTCCGCCTCTTCGTTCATCTTGCTCCCCACGCCCCGCGGGAGGGCGCGGGGATTGCGGGCCTTTCCAAGGACCGTCGGCAGACAGTGCGGACGCTGCTCGGGGTGCACGCGGACCAGGTGCTAGTGCACGGGGCCTTCAACGCGGACCCTCACCCCGGGAATTTCCTGCTGTTGCCCGACGGCCGCATCTCGAAAAACGAAGAGCTGCATGAACAGCAACGTTCGGAGGCCCGCGCGGACGTTTTAGGTCTGTGCTGGGGACCCCACTGGCAGCGCCTCCGGCGCCGCCCCTGGCACGCTCCACGCGCCAGGGAGGGGTGTCCAGTGCCGATCCAAGGAATCCGCGCGGAGCTGCAAACATTGATGTTTGTGCACTCGCTTCTTCTTCGGGCATCGGCCTCATTGATTTTGGCCAGGTCAAGCGCATCGACGTGGCCACCAGGAGGAAGCTGGCGAGGCTGCTGGTCGCCCTGGGGGACCAAGACCGGGCGCGCATCGTGGGCGCGTTCGTGGACTTGGGAGTGCGGTCCGAGCGGATGGATCCCCGATTCCTGGAGGCCAACGCGCGGCTGCTCTTCGGCAGGGTCGACGGAGAGTTCACGGGGGGACGGCCTCTGCTGGATTTCCTGCAGGATTTGCGCACCTGGGATAAGCTGACGGAGATTCCAGGGGAGATCTACCTTCCCGCGCGTGCGGCGACGATGCTGCGGGGCTTGTCGTTGCTGTTGCATTGCAACGTGTCCATTGCGGAGGAGTGGCGCAGCGCAGCGCAGCAAGTGCTCGCCGAGGATGCATGATTGCCGCGCCACGGTTTTCCGATTTTCGAGCGGCTTGTGCCGGCTACTGATTGCAAAAGTTTACGAGGAAGTAGAGGTGGATGCGGTAGATATTTCGATTGAGTGGGAGACGGATGAACATGCGGAGGGAGAACGGGAGAGAGAATGAGAGAGCCGAACAGGGCATGATTGATGACAAGAAGACAAGTGGAACGAAGCGATGGCAGATGGCAAGTACCAGGTACAAAATGCCAAAGTCAGGTCAGGATGATCAGGGAGAGCTCTTCAGAGCAGTGTCTTGAGAGGAGGGCCCCAACCCCCTGGCGCCGCCCTTGTAGGGCCGGTCCTGCCAGACCCACATCATACCCTCGTCTCGTCGTCGTCCTGTGGAAGAGCCGTTTGGGACGGCAGTTCGGCGGCGAGCGAGGGGGAGAAGAAAATGAGGAGGAGGCCTTCTCAGAAGGCGGCGAGACTTCTCAGAAGCACTCGCGCCTTCTGAGAAGTTTCCTGTGTCTTCAAGGGCGCCTGAGAAGCTTCTGGGAAGGCCGGGGGACTTCCGAACCTTCTGAGAAGGACCGCCCCCTCTCATTTTCTCCCCCCCCCCCCTCACTGGGCTGGCCGCCGAGCAGTGGAGGCAGGGCCGCATCCCGACGCCCCCCTCTCCGCGCGCTGCCCAGGCGTGTGGTATCGCTCTCTAGCAGGCAGACTGGCGATGCGGCCAAGGCCTGGCAGGAGCGCTATGGGGGGGATCAGCAGGGGCATTTGGCAGTGGAGGACGGGGGCGGGGGAGGAGGGACAGATGAAGGAGGGGCTGGAGGAGAGCCAGGGAGCTGGAAAGGGAATACAGAACTGGGTAGGTAAAGCAGGGGTCAGAAGATGCCCACGTGTGTGATGCTAAGTCTCACATTGGGTCCATGCGAACCGTTTCCTGCCACATCGTTCCAAACACAAAAAGAAACGCCTCGATCAGGAAGGGGTGCGGTGCTTGGAGTTGGTCTTGGTCGACTGTAAACATAATATTAAAAGTGGAGAGGATGATCAGATGGCAGGGGCACTGCAAGGGGAAACGGAGAGCGCATAGAAGAAAGGAAATCAATTATGATGTACAGTTGTGTCAGAGCATTTGTGAGGGATAGGGTACTGTTTTTGAATTATTCGTGCAGGGATGCAGGTGATGAATCTCTTGTGGGTCAGTTTCTGTAGGATGCACGTAGAAGAGTGGATGCCTTCTGTGTCATTACGTGGAGAGGTATTGTGCTCTTACAGCCTGGTCTGCACGCGGGAGCCAATGGTATAACAGGTCAAGTCTGGCGAAAAAGAGTTGTCGAGCGTTCAGAACGTTGCGGAGAAGTGCGCTGGGACTCTCGGGAATTCAAGTGCGTTTGCCTGAGCAGCCCGAAGAAGGTCGCGCCTGAGTCCCGGGATGAATGCGATAGCGATTCGGAGCGACGTCACAGCAGCATGATCGTGGCAAATTGGTGGGGAGGTCTCGAAATTGATTTGGAGAAGCAGTGGAAGGGTTCATAAGAGTGTTGGAGGAGTGTTGGAGGGGTCTCTCAGGATATCGGGGGAGCGAAACCCTTTTCAGTGCCAGTAGACAGCCGTGTCGGGCGCCCTTAGTCCCTCAGGGCCGTCTCGAAGCGGTTCAAAGCCGTCTTGGGCTTGTTTGTGCCCCGTCTTCGAAACATATCCGGCATTATGGAGGCAACGTGCGCAAGAGCAGAAAGTCAGTTTGATACCAGTTGAAGCGATGTCGAATGTATTCGAAATAAGGTTGCCGAACTGATATTTTTTGAGAAGCTTTTGGGTGTTGGCTGATTGACAGCTAAAACAAAACATGGGGATTCACAGGGCAGTTCGGCCCCCCAGGAAGTCGAAAAAGAACGGAACGATATGCCACATGTGTGTATCGATGTGTTTCTCGGGTTGGCCAAGCAGCAGAGCGTTCCATGCCAATCACCAGCGGCCAGGAGACGTTGCATAGGCGAGTGGGCGTTCCAGGCGACCCACCCGGGCGCGACACCTTGCCAAGCCTCTACGACAAGCAGCGTCGCACCATTGCGGCCGCCCGCCCGTTCGTGCGACCGATTCGCCCCAATTGTGGTTAGCAGTAGGCAAGAATTGGTCAGATCATTTCGTACATTCAAGGGCAGAGATTTGCCAGGAGGGTGCTGCCGTCAGTAGAGACTACACCGCCAACATAAGATCTGCATGCTTCAATGCTTAATTGCATCTATTTGTTGAACAGTATTTGGGCCGCGGGGGTCCTAGATAGCCTTGCAGTCCAGTAGTTCTGTCCAGGAAGCATTCTCAATGGTTCACCGATTCCCCCCGTCCCCTCTTCAACGTTTCGAGGGTCTTGAGGGGTTGGCCTCTTTATGGAAGTCCCCCATTTGGCGCGTCCCCGATGTGAGGTGAAGGGTTGTTTTGTAGGAGACGGCAGGAGCAGTAGTGTTCAAGCAAGGACCCAGGACAGTCGCGCGCAAGAGCTCATCTCCATCAATGGGACAGTCGCACTGAGGGCCCATGCATGGTGTCCGTATGGAGCATAGGCTCGCGCGAAGCGCCCGCACGTAGCTGTGGGGTACATCTGCACACACATACCTATACGTATAGATGCATGTATGTATAACCGTAAAACTATATATGTACGTGTACATGTACGTATACGTGTACATATACATATACATACTTGCATATATACAGCTACGTACATACACATATATTACAATACCTACACCTGTAAACAGGTATACATGCATGTATCTGTAGGGAGATATGTACATATTTTGCGTTCGCCATTCCGCCGGCACCCAGAACGAGCGAATGTTTGCGACGATATTGGAAGTGATATAGTGGGTGAGGGGCTTCGTGGATGCATTTGCGGGGTTCGTTGGATGCCTCTCATGGGTCTCCTGGAAAGCTCTTGGGGGCATCAGGGGCCCTTCTTTGGGGCCCCTTGGGGGCTTCTTGGGGACCCCTTGAATTCCTCTTGGGGCCTCTTGCGGACCCCTCGGGGTCGTCGAGGGGGCTCTTGAGGCCATCTTGAGGGGAAGGGTTCGAAATGTCAGCTCGTATCACCATTTTGGGGCCCCTCTCAGGGCCCGCTTGGGGGTCTCTTGGGCCGTCTTGGGGGGCACTGCGGCCGTCATGGAGACCTTGGGTTGTATTGGGGCCCTCTTCGATGCCTCTTGGGACCTGCTGTGACGATCTTGGGGGCCTCTTGGGCCGTCTTGGACGCTGTCAAAACGGAACAGGTGAGTATACTAAAAATGCATGCTTCCTTGAGGAACTGGGACGAGGTTCTGCCTAATGGGGCCCTCTCGGTGGCCTTCTTGGAGAATTATTGGCTCGTCTTTTGGGCCTCGTGGGCCGTCCCCAGACCATCTTTGACCGTCGCGGGGCTCACCTCAGGAAGCCATTAAGAAACCACCTTGGGATATCGGTAGCACCGAAACGCACAGCGGGAGCGGATTTAGCCGAGCGATACCGTTAGCATCGCACCAGAAAGCAACAATTAATGATTATTCCCCTCCCCCCTGGCAAACATAAGTATTTCTTCCCCGTCCTCACCCCCCGCGACTGACATCTATAACTAGTACGGATGACAGCGATGACAGTAATAATGATCTATTCTCCTGGCGTGCCAGGAACAGCCTGACAAAGCTGAACTCATTCAAAGCGTGCAGGGACAGTGTGAAAGCGCTCTGGACAAATGGCTGAACTCAATGGGCTACCCAATGAGAAGAGTCAGAATGAGCTGAGCTGAACTCACGGCGAGCTGGCCTCGTCGCTCAGCGCGCGCGTGATCTGACGCCGCCACTCTTGCGCCGCGCTCTCTCACGCGCGCTCGCACATACTGCGGTCGCCTGGGTCTGGTGTGCTCGGGCGCTCTGCTTCTGAGGACAACGGCTTCTGGTAGCCCTTGTGCTTCTTCACCACCAGGACGCCTTCTTTGGGGCGGCTGCTGCTCTTCCTGGCCCAGTTCACCTCGGCCCCAGGGACGTCAGGCTGAGCGACCTTGACCACCGTCGCGGTGCTCAAAGCTTCTGGGCGCCACGGCGCACTGAATTTCGACGTGGGCCACGGGGAGCTGAGCGGCGCCAGGCCCCCCTGACTGCCCAGCAGGTCCCGCGCAGACTCGACGCGCGCGGGCGCTGAGCTGAGCGTCCGAGGGCGCGGGCCTGTGCGTTCCGCCCCCGGCCAGGGGCACTTTGACGTAGAGCAAGCTCTCCTCGGCATTGCTCTGACTGCCGGAGCCTGGCGCGGAGCCCGAGCAAGCGCGGCATCGGGCAGGGTCCGGAAACAAAAAAAAACACCCGACATTCCAGGAAAGGTAAACAATCCGAGGAGTCCCAAGATAGCCCGAGGAATCCCAGAAATCCCAAGACATCTCGTGAAATCTCAAGAATCCCAAGGACCCTGGAACATCCCAACAATCACAAGACGCCCCGAGAAACCCCAAGAATCCCCCAAGCCGACAGAACCCCAAGAAGCCGCAAAATATCCAAGGAGCCCCGAGACATGCCGCAGAAATCCCAAGAATCGCAATATTCTCAGAAAAATAGCCGGAACAAAACAAATCAGAGATTCGCCGAGACATCTTTATGCGCCTTCTCTGCGGCGCGCGCCGCGCGCTGTCTGGGCCGCGCAGTCCGGGTCGATGCCCGCGGCGGCGCTGGCGATGATATCCCGCTGCGCTTGCCGGCGGGCGCGGGATCTGAGCGCTGAGCGTTGGGTCTTTCAAGTGCGCGACGCAGGCAGCCTCGCGACGCGCGAGCTTTCAAAGCCTGCGCGCCGAGGGAATCCTCAGCTTTCAAACTGCCTGAAAGCTCCGAACGGCCAGCGGTGCTCATCATATTCCACGCCCGAGCCCTTCCTTGTCCTGGCCCCCTTCCGCCCCGGACCCCCCGCTCTATTACTTGTTCCTTCGCCCGCCTCGCCTCTTGGGGCCCTCTTGGCCCAGTTGGAAGCCCCCATGGTTCCAAGAAAGTCATTCGGGGACGCCCCAGCATGCGGGAAACCAACCTGGCATACGGGAAGCACTGGATTATGTAGGATTTGGGGGTCTGGGTTCTTTAATATTCATTTGTCAGGACGGAGGGCTCAAGGGGCCTGAGGACATTCCAGCTCGTGCCTTGGGCGGTTCCCATACCTGTAGATGCATATGTATAGATATGTGTCTATATGCTTACACACATAGTTGTGTGTTTATATATACACGTGCACACGCATATGTAACTATACACATATGTGCATATATATATATATATAAACACATAAATCTATATGTATACAACATATGTGCGTTTGTATGTACAATGCGTAGACACCTGATAAGAGGGGCGGAAGACGGAGACAGGACGAGAGAGAGTGAGAGAGAAAACGAGAACATATGGCCGTGCCTTATGTGCACATGTCACATGTCTCACATGCTCGGAAGGGGAGCTGCCCCGCTGGCCAGGCCTCTGGCGTCTCACGGTCGGCGCCGCCCTCCACGGTGGGGCCCTCCGCGTCGGTGGTGGCCTGGTTCGCCCAGTTCCAGTGCCAGAGCTGCGAGCGGATACCGACGTCCCTGGACCCCGGGAAGGGAGATCCAGCGCAGATCCAAGACATCCGCGCGGACAGTCGACAGTCCATGTTTATACAGTGCAGCTGAAGAAGAAAAGGTACCCGTAACGCTACCCTCCCCTGGTCGCCACGGGTTGATGCGCGTCGCGGTCCTGGTCAGAACGCGCCCTTGGAATGTCCTGTGGAGTAGCGATGTTGTGACCCAGGGATCCGATGCTAAGGAAAATTTGGAGCGGTCAGTTTTGGATTTTAGTTCGGCCCCTGGGGGCTCGCAACGACACCCGGGACCGTCAATGAACCACTCAGGAGAAGAAACCAGCCGTAGGGATGTGGTCCAGATTTCCCAGGCATCGTACAGATTGGAGCGCCGGATGTTCTGAGAGGTTCAGCAGAGGGAAGGTACCCGTACTTTTACCTTCTCCTCGTCGCCGCGAAAGGATACGCGTCTGGATTCTGGTCTGAAGTCCCTTTTGGAGAGGACTGTGGAGTAGGGATATCGACACCTTTTTCTTCCTCTGAAGGTGTCCCTGCCAGCGCGCAGCATCTTTTATAGTTTAGTTTTCGAGATCGATCCCAGGGAGGGCATAGTTCCAATGCGTTTGAGTTCGAATCGGACATTCGGAATTTCAAGGTGGTGATGATCAGTTTCTAAGTTGAAGGTAAGCTTCTGACATGAGTCTGGTAATCAGGTGATCGTAATCGTGCCAAAGATCCCAGTGCCCCCAAATAGTCCTGGGGGTACCCGTAGTCCGCGGGCGGGTATCTACCTGTAGTAGTTCGGGAAAGGATACCTGCAGTCTGGGGGGAGAGGGGTCCTGTAGTCCGGCGGCGGAGGCCTCAGGGCGCATTTTTGGTCCGAGGGGAGGTCGGCATGCCAGTTGGGGAAGCTGTTTGGCCGCTTGCATGCCATGATTGGTGAACAAAACAACGCCGAGAAGTCCAATGTATAGGGCCTGGAGCCTCAGGTGTGTGGAAGCCTACGCGTGTGGAGCCCCATGCGCCTTGGCCCCATGCGCGTGGAACCCCACGCATGTGGAATCCCGCAGTCTGTGCGTGAGTCCCCGCTTGCGTTGCCCCCCGCGGTTCAAGACCCAGGCCCGTGAAAAGCCAGGTGGTTTGTTTAGGTGCGTGGAAATCCCATGGTGCTCCAACAGACATGGCGCGCGCACGCGTGCGTCTCTCTTTCTCGCTCTATCCCCTCTCTCGCTCTCTCTCCCTCTCCCCCCTTTCTCTCTCGCCCTCTCTCTCTCTCTCTATCGCTCGCTCTCTTTTCTGTTCTCTCATTCTCTTTCTTATCGTTCCGTCCTCTCTCGGGGCGGCCTGGCGGGTACCTCTACTACGGGCGGGGTCACCTATAATCCTGGAGGGGGGTACTTGTAGACCGGGGATGGGTATTTGTAGTTCAGGCGGGGGTACCAGTAGTCCATGGGTGGGTATTTGTAGCCTGGGGATGGGTACTCAGGTGTACCCAGGACCAGTGAGGAACATAGAAAATGTTGTAGGTCGGTTGTGACTTCCAACCTGGGAGTTTGAACGCTCCTGTGATTGTTCCAGGAATGCTTTGGGGCAGCATGGGAATTGAAGACGCGCGGGAGGGGGGAGGAGATTGAAGGGCGGAAGGGTGCAGAGGGGTTGGGCCAGATGAGTATATATGATGGGCCTGGAGGCAAGCAAAGGGTAAGGTGGAGGGGGTAGCTGAGAGGAGTCGATATGATAAGAGGAATGATACATATCATTTTTTTTGACGCGTATCGGTGAGCCACCGCCGTTCTCTGCCCTTGTGGAAGGCAGGGCGCTGCTGGCCGAGAGCCCATGTAAAAAGGAGTGTCGAGCAGAGCTTGGAGTCCGCTCCTGGAAGGGCCTTTTGGGGGACGTCCTGCTCCTCTTTGGGCCCTCTTTGGCATTTTCTGGGCCTTCCGTGGCCCTGTGTGACCATCTTGGGGCGCTGTTGGGCCGCTTGGACCCGAAACGGCGAGAATGCTGAAATCCTTCAAACTTCAAATATTAGAAAGAGCGTGTTCTACCGCTGCTGGCGGAAAACCGGGGGGGTCACTACCGGTTCGAACCCCTCCCCCCCCCCCCCCTCCGGAAAACCCCCCCTCCGGAAAACCGGGGGGGGTCACTACCGGTTCGAACCCCTCCCCCCGGTCGGTTCGAACCCCTCCCCCCCCCCCCTCGAAAACCGGGGGGGGTCACTACCGGTTCGAACCCCCCCCCCCCTCGAAAACCGAGTGGGGGTGCGGACAGTGGTGGGGACGGTGTTGGTGGGGACAGTGGTGAGGGGACAGCGGGACAGTGGTGGGGACAGTGGGACAGTGGGACAGTGGTGGGGACGGTAGTGGTGGGGACAGTGGTGGGGACAATGGTGGGAACAGGGGGGGACAGTGGACAGTGGTGGTGACGGTGGTGGTGGGGACAGTGGTGTGGGGACAATGGGAATGAGGTGGAAACAGTGGGACAGTGGAGGGTACAATGGTGGTGGGGACAGTGGTGAAGGCGGTGGCGAGGACGGCGGTGGGACAATGGGACAGAGGTACAGTGGGGACAGTGGTGGGGACAGTGGGGACAGTGGTGGGAACAGTGGGACAGCTCAGTGGGACAGCGGAGGAGTCAGTGGGACAGTGGGGACAGTGGGGATAGTCGGGCAGTGGTTGGGGCCGTGGAGACAGTGGGGAGAGTGGAACCGTGGTGGGAACAGTTCTGGGGACAGTGGGGACAGTGCGACAGTGGTGGGGGCACTGGTGGGGACAGTAGGGACGGTGGTGGAACCAGTGGGGACAGTGGTGGTGAGGACAGTGGTGCTGGGAACAACAGTGGGGGATGTGATGCGGACGGTGGTAGGGACCGGGAGTCGTTTGCTGGCGGTGCGTGGGGGGGGGGGTCGGACCTGTAGTGATCCCTCTCCGTTTTTCGAGGGGGGGGGTTTCGAACCGGTAGTGACCCCCCCCGGTTTTCCGGATCCGGAGGGGGGGGGGGGAGGGGTTCGAACCGGTAGTGACCCCCCCCCGGTTTTCGAGGGGGAGAGGGGGGGGGTTAGGGGAGGGGGGGGGGCAGGGGAGGGGGTATTTTCGGATGGGGGGGGGGGGCGACCCCCGGGTTCCGGAGGAAAAGGTTGGCAATTTTCCACAGTAAAGCGGCGGTGGATCACGCTCTCTCAAATATTAGGAGACATCACGAAATGCTACCTCTTCGAAGCCTTCTGAGGTCTCTCTTGGACCTCGCTCGGGGCGTTCTAGGGTGGCCTCTTGGGCCGTCGTGGAACATCGTGGGCCATGTTGGGATCATCTTGACCGTCTTGGAGACCATCTTGGAGTCCATATTGGCCCATCTCCGTCGTCGAGGAGCTCCTCTTCGAGTCATTTTTGGAAGGAACACCGAGGGGAGCCCCCCAGTCGTCATCCTGTTCTTGCCCCCTCCTCGCCGTCCTCCTACCCTTGCCTCTGGTCCGCTTCCGCCACCTGTGCATGTTGACTCCTCCTTCGTCCTCCGCCTTCTCCTCCCCCCTCCCCATGATCCATCATCTTCCCGGAAGCCCTTCTCATCCACACCTGCCCGCGACGTGCAACAAGCCGCGTCGGAGCAGCAGCAGCAGCAGCAGCAGCAGCAACAGCAGCAGCAACAGCAGCAGCAGCAGCAGCAGGACGCGCGCCATGGCCCACACTCGGGGGCCCCAAAAAAGTGTGGTGACCGCACCCCGTGGTGAGTCAGTGTGGATTCGGGGTCACCGCGCTGTTTTGGACTCTGGTCGTTCTCCGAGGACATCTTTGGCGACCAGGACCTCCAAGGCTCCAAAACCGTTCGGTGACGGACCGTGTGGTGAGGGCGTTGGTTGTGCAGGGCAGGACGAGGATAAATACCTTCCAGAGCGTTCCGGAACGCTCTCAGAGCGTTCCTGAACGCCGCGGCGCTCGAGACATCCTCCAGAGCCGCCAGATCTCAGAAGAGTTTCTCGATCTATCCTCGCCCGGTTCTATCCTCGTCCTGGTTTCGTCTTCGAGGGCGTTGGGGATTCCGAGGTCCCACGCGGTCTGTCACCGCGCTGCTCTGGGGCCCCGACCGCGCCACCCGCCCGCTCAGGAGGACCGCTTCTGCTCCTCGTGCGGGCAGCCGCTCCCGCTGCCGCAGCTGCCGCCTGGCACGGGCGGCGGGCGCAGCGGGTGCACGGCGGCCAACTTGGGGGAGGCCGCGCTGCCCAGCGGGGGTTTCAGGGGCCGCAGCAGCGGGCGTTACATACGCAACGGGGGGCGATGATCGAAGAGCAGAGCACCGCGTAAAAGCATAAGTTCTCGGAGGTCTGCGCAGATTTCGAGGATCGGCGTTGGGTCCTCCTGGCGCGTCCAACGACGATGGACCTCTGAACGTGTATGTTCATGCCGTCTGTTGTTCCTCTAGATGAGCGGAGCGTGTTTTTACAAGCCTCTGAGCCATAACGCGCGTCATGTCCCCCCTCCCTAACGAACGCTCCCCCCCTCCGCCCCGTCGTGCGCATCCGGCACTGCCACTGTGACGCTCGCAGGTTATTGTGGCGAATGCATGCCACCTTAACGATGGTCGTCGTGTCCGAGAGCCTCTCAGGGCCTGCAGACGCCTCCAAAGGCCTCCGGAGATCTCCTTGGGCGTCCGGAGATCTCCCGAGACCTTCAGAGGCAGCCGTCCTCGTGGTCGTCGTGGTTGTCGTCGTCGATGTCGTCGTCGTAGTTATTGAGGCCGTCGTCAATGGCGTCGTCGTCGTGGTCGTTGCTTTAGTCGTCGTCCTCGTCGTCGTCGTCATCGTCGTCGTCGTCCTCGTCCCTGTCGTAGTCGTCGTCCTCGTCCTCCTCGTCCTCGTGGCGGTCGCTGTCCTCGTCATCGTTGCCGCGGAGGGTTCCGAAGGGCTTCCAGACGCCTCCAGAGGTCTCCAGAGGCCTCCTTAGGCCTCTGGGGGACCTCCAGAGACCTTCACAGGCGGCTGTCGGCATCGTCGTCGTCGTCCTCGTTCTTGTTCTCGTCCTCGTCGTCGTCGTCCTCATCGTCATCGTCGTCCAGGGTTTCGAAGGGCCCCCAGACGCATCCAGAGGTCTCCAGAGACCTCCTTCGGCTTCAGGGACCTCCGGAGACATTCAGAGGCGGCCGCCGTCGTCGTCGTCGTCCAGAGGCCAGAGCAAGGGCAACAAGGGGCAGGAAGCCGCTCCGATGGGGGCGAAGAAAAGAGCGCGAGGCTGAAGGAGGCCCCAAGGCCTGCGGCGGGGCCCTGCCGCTGAGGCCGTTGGGCGACGTCGTAGGCCCAATTCCAGACGCCCCCCTTCCCAATACGTCCCAATTTCAGCGCCCCCCTTCCCATACATCGGGAATCGTAGAGGGTGGAGGGGAACCTCCTCGGAAGCGGGGTGTCGCCAGAGGGGAGAGCATTTGCGACCACGTGCGGACCCTGCCCCTACGGGTCCAATCGATGCTGGGGTACTGGACACCCCCATTGACGTTCTACAATTCTTGAAAATCTCTTCCAGTTTTAGGGGATTTGTTTGTAGGGTCAGGCGATGACTTGGGTTATGGGGCCCGCCCGCCCCCCACCCCAGGTTCGCCTGACCTTGTCGGCTGCGCAAGTCCGATGGGGGTACGCAGTGCTGGTGCGCGCGCGGACATACGCAGGGCTGCCCAAAGCGAAAAGGTTAATTCATCGGCCGGCACCTCCCCCCCTCCCGGCCGTGACGAACGGCGGGGGTGGCCGCGGCCACGGCGGCCTCCGCGGTAGATGTCGTGTAAGGTTTTCCCAGCGTTGCTTAGCGCCCCCCGCCCAAGCCCCCCGCGCCCCTCCGCCAGCCGTCCATTCCTCGGCGGGGCAGTGGATGGATCCCGCAGAGGGCAATCCCCACCAAGCCGCAGCGTGCTGGGCTCGGCCAGGCACCCCACAACGATCCCGACGCCTTTCCCGACGCCCAGCCCCACGCCCTGCCCCACGCCCTGCTCTCCGCCCAGCCCCACTCCAGCGCGACGAACCCGACAACCGCCATCCACTCCTGCACTAGTGTCGCCGCCGTAGTGTCCGTAGCCTCGTCGCGGGTGGCCCTTCTCTCCCAGCTTTGTTCTGGCCCGTCTGCTTGCGGTTGCTCCCCTCTCCCTCGTCTCCCGTCCCTCCTCTCCCTTGCTCCCTGCTCGCTGTCTCCCTCGGTCCCTTCCCGCCTGCCCGCCCGCCTGCTTCGTCCCGCCGGCCCTGGCCTCCTGCCTGCGCGTTTGCCTTCGTCTGCTTGCTTCTCGTTCCTTTTCTCCCTCCTCTGCCGCCGCGCAGCACATACTGCCGGGGGCCTCTTCTGGCGTTCTCTCGGGGCCTCGTGGGGGCATGCCGAAGGTGATCTAGGACTACTGCCGGGAGTTTCCCGATCCCTGGGAGGACGGCAGGGCTCCCCTCCCTCCCACCAGATAGTCTGGGTGATCGCCGAAGGATGACGAAGATCTCAAGGCTTCACATGTGGTGTCCTTGAGCTTCGGAGGCTCGGAGGAGGGGCAGCACTTGAGGAAGAAGGGGGGAATGGTACCTCTTCCTCCTGGGCGGCGCGGAGCGGCGGCGACAGCAGCCAAACAAGACACCTCATCAGCCGACTCCGGACCGCCTCAGGCGGCTCGAGGCGGCGACAGGCACAGCCGCCAGGAGGAAGGAGACGGGACCAGTCGAGGGAGCAGGCAGGACCAGTGGTCATTTCAGGATGGGATAGGTTCAGGGGGGGCACGCATCGACCCCCAATCGCTCACTCATCGCCGATAGCGCCCGATAGCACATCCCGCCCAGGAACGTGCGGAATTTCTATCGGGGCTTATCGCTGATTTATCGGCGACGTATCGCTGATTCCAGCTCGATACATCCCCCCCTGACTTGATCCCTCCCTGACGTGTTCCCTGAGAGGGGCGAGGAAAAAAGAGGAATGAGGAAGAAGGTGGAGGAGGAGGATGACGAGACCAGGAGGGAGGAGGAAGGGGGAGGAGGAGGAGTGAGGAAGGAGAAAGGAGCAGGAGGAGGAGGAAGGAGCAGGAGGAGGAGGACGAGAAAGGAGCAGGAGGACGATGAGGAGGAATGAGCAGGAGGAGGAGGAGGAGGAGGAGGAGGAAGAGGAGGAGGAGGGGGAGGGGGAGGGGGAGGGGGAGGAGGAGGAGATGAAGGAGGAGGAGAAGAAGGAGCGAGGAGGAGGGAGGAAGGATGAGAGAGGAGCGAGGAGGAGGAGCGAGGAAGGAGGAAGGATGAAGACGGAGGAGGAGGCCAGGAAGGGACGGCCGCCACGCCGCTTGGAGAGTGGATGCGCAGAGGTTGCCGCCGCGGCCGCCGCTGCCGCGGAGAGGGCCGCACGGCGCCCCGCGGCGATGAGCGCGGGAGGCCCTCCGGCGACGAGCGGAGGAGGCCTTCGGCGGGGGGGGGGAGTCGGCCACGCATAGGAGTGGCCCTTCGCTGGAGTGACCATTGGGTGCGGACCTAGTCGGGATGGGCGAAATTGATATGAAAGAGTGTGTACGAAGACTGAAAGCAGTTCCTGTCCATTTTGAACCGGATTCGCTGACGGTGTCGCCGCGGACATTGTCCATTTGAGACAGAAGGCCGCCTGCCCAACATTGGCCGCTGCTGATTTGGAAAAATATCATTTCTTGGGGCGACCTTTCGCCGATGTGACCTTCTGGTGCGGGCCCAGATATATGGCGTATCGAAAACATCGACACGGAGGTCGTTTCTAGTTGGTGGCCCCTCGGGGCCCTTACAGGGCCTCGGGATCGTCAAAAAGCGACTCTTGATAAAAAGAGCGGTCCAGGGGAAGTGGTCGAGATGTCGTGGCCCGTGTTTCGAAAAAGTCGAGACGTTGGATGTCGGGGGGGTGGGGGTGCTTGGCCCTTCGCCGTAGTGACCCTTGGTGCGGGGCCACAGGGGTCCTTCCAGTTGTCTTTCGCGCGTGAGCTTGGCCCCTCCGCGGCCCCCCGGAGCAGCGCACCAGAGGTCACTCTTGCCTGGGGTCACTCCTGCGTGTAGCCCAAGGCAGGGCCGGGTGCTTCCTCGTTCTCGGCGGCGCGCCCAGGGGACGGGCAGAGGTGGCGGGCCTTCTCAGAAGGCGGCGGAGCTTCTCGGGAGCCCTCCGGCCTGCCGAGAAGCCCGCTCTGCGTCTTCGGAGAAGGCTTCGAAGGTTTCTCAGACGGCCAGCGGCCTGCTGAGCCTTCTGAGAAGGCCCGCCCCTTTGGTTTCCCCCCCTGGAGACCCCTCGAGAAAGCGCCGACACGGATTAAGGCGCGCGGATTAGAGACGGTTCCAGCTTCCATGCAGAGTCAGCGCGCTCCGTCGCCAAACGAGGCGACATCGGCCTAATGTTTCGAGGGTGCCTTCCCCAATCCATTGCTCTGGCGCCCACGCTCCAGCTCCGCGGATCCTTAACCCATGTTAGCGTGTGCCCGATGGGGGAGGGAGAGGTCTTCATCTCTCGCATTGAGGGCAAAACTAGATCTCCGACGACGTATGTTCTTTCAAACTGCGTTTTTTTATAGATTTCGGCCAAAGGAGGAGGAGGAGGAGGAGGACGAGGAAGAGGAGGAGGACGAGGACGAGGACGGAGACGAGGAGGCAGAGGAGGAGAAAACCCAATTTGGCCCCCGCCTGAGCATCCCCTGGGCTGTTGGGCTGTTGCTGCACAAAGGCAGTGCGCCGACCCCAAGGGGGTTTCTCGGCGTTTAGATTGTTGCCCTTCTCCAATCCTCTCACCAGGCAGCCCAGTCTGGCCGATTTGGAGGGGCGCCGGCGGACTCATTTGCTCCAGAAGTGTTCCCAGGCGTGCCAAAATTGCCTCAGAGGTTTCAAATTCGGTCCAGGAAAGCCCGAGATTGCCAACACGTGTACAAAGACGGCCCAAGATAGCCTCAGGATGGCCCAAGAGGCCCCCAAGACGCCCAAAGCAGAACCCGAAGAGGTCCTATTGAGCTCAAGATTTCCTTTGCCGTGCTTCAGAACACCCAAGACGGCCTGGGCGGCCCCCAGGTTCGCCCCGAGTGGCCCCCTAAAGAGCCTCACGACGGCTACCCTGAGATGGCGCCGAAGTCCCCCAGGGCGGCCCCAGAGGCTCCCAAAACGGGCTCAAGAGGGTCACAAGAGGTGGAACTCGAATTGGCCTTGGGAACCCTTCCACCTGTGCTGCCACAAAACGCCCCAAGACGCCCTTGCGAGGCCCGAAGCCACACCCAGGGAGCACCCAAGATGCCACAAGAAGCTTCCAAGAGACACCCGAGAGGTATGTTCTGAGTCTCCCCGCCAACAGGGGATCGGCACCCCAGTGGTATGTTTCGCGTGCAAGAAGATAAAGTGCATACCTGGCATGGGAAGACCGGAGTCTCCCACCTAAACGGACGGCAAGATGCGTGGGCAGTGAACGACGACGGAAGTGGACGGGACTCTGAGAAATGTCGCAGAGGACCCCATGGGGTCGGCAGCGCGGCGTAGCCAATTACCCATCCGAAGCCGGCGAGCCAGCGAGAGCGACAGCCACGGAGGCGGGCCCAGGCATGCGGAGCAGGCATTTCGTTGATTCGAGGGCGCACGGGCAGCCAAGGAGGGGGTGAGCAGATCCAGTTGCGGGGCGCAGAAGGTGGATCGTCTTCACCGTCTTCCTCCCCCGAGGGGAAGGAGGAGGGATGACCTAACCCGCCTCTGGGGGCACGCCCCGTGAGCGGCCTACCATCGTCACAGCACCATCCCGATTCCGATTGGGTCAGGGCAGGGCAGGCATCCCAGCGTGGCCCCTCCAGGTGGAAGTGGATACTGCGAAACCGGAAGGCTACGGCAGCAATCCACCTGAGTGGGGCAGGTAGGTTCGTGGGGCCAAAGTTTCCACGGTGGGGATGGCTGTACTTGTTCAGAACTGCCGCAGTCTTGCCGTCCTGCGTGCACCTCCGCAGAATCTTTCCTGGGCCTCCCATTGCCAAGCAGCGCTATCCAGCGAGTGGGAAGGGCGCTTCCGTCAGATACACAGGAGATGCGGACTGGGGCGACACCGTAAGGGGGTGAGGCATTTGCAGGTGGCAGCGACAGACGGCGGGTGCGCAGACAGGATTTGCTGTTTTCCAAGAGCTTCCAGCCAGGCAGCGCTGCCGAGCCAGTCAAGGCTCTCTCCGACGGCGCAGTGGGCGCAGGCGCCAGTTGTTATCTTGTTCATGCAGCGTCTCCGCAAGTGGTGCGAGAACCCCCACACGTCTTAGAACTGGTTGCGGTTGGGCTGGCCAGCGTCTCTTTTGTAGGATTGCAAGGGGGTTCGGTGAACAACAGGGGGCGATCACTTGTTGATGGTGCGCGTCGTGAACAAAAATATTTGCTCTCTTGCATGCCACTGGCGGGGACGATTGGGCGTATATAATGCATGGCATGCTCAATGTGTCGATTGCGAGCGACTTGTGCACCTGACATACTGACACCCCCTCTTTCCATTCAAACATGTGTGGTCCGTTTGTTGGCTTATCCTCTCCGCCTTGAAGCCCGATTCCGTTGCTTATTCTGTTAGCGCGGTAGTTCGTTCCGCTGTTTTCCGCAGTGCGCCTCATCTGCCCACTTACCCAGTTGTTCCCATTCCCCGCACAGCCTCGCCTTCTTCCTACTTGGCTAGCCCTTCTCCCTCTCCCTCGTCATTGCCTCCTCCACCCCGTGGACCCTGGACAACCACCTCCCTCTTCCGGGAGATCCCCGAAGGCAACGCGTCGCAAACAAACATATTATAGTTGGGGCCAGCGCGGTGTATTTACGCAAGTGGCCCAAATAGTCGGCATCGAAAGTGAATTCTGAGTCGCATCTGCAGGCATGTACTTGTCAGTCCCTTTCGTCAATGCAAGTCTTGGAGAGGCCCTATGCCATGACCCGACGACTCTGACGAGGGATCAGGATGCCCTCGGAAGGCCGTGAAGGAGCCAAGACATGCACGAGGACAGGCCAACGATGATCCCAGAAGGACTTGAAGAACGCGTCGAGACTGGAGAAACGACAGATCGCCGTCCACCTCTCGGAAGCGCCTGTGGCGAGCCAGTGCGCCCCCTGCCGTTTGTGGACGCTGATGTGGCCAAGCAATATGCCAAAGTCTTGCCAAGCTATTGGGCTACGTGCTCCCCCAGCCGTAGTGGAAACGTTTGGGGGAACACTTGTAGGCGAAAGAGAGAGGATACTGAGAGGGGAGGAGGAGGAGGAGGAGGAGGAGGAGGAGGAAGAGGAGGAGGAGGAGGAGGAGGAGGAAAAGGCGGCATCTAGGGGCCTCATGGGGGCCTCTTGCGGGCCTGGAGGCCGATTTGGGGGACCTCCTGAGTTGTCGTGGTGCCCTGTCTGGACTCTGTAGGGTCGTCTTGGAGGTCTGTGGGGCTGTCGTGGGGCCCTCTTGGGACGTCGTGGGGCCCTTGTGGCCCATCTTTGGACCCTCTTGAGGAGGCCTCCTTGGGGGCAGATAGGGTCTCCTGGGGCCTCTTTGGGGCAATATTTGGGGCATCTGGGGGCCTCTTGGCTGCCTGCTTGGTCTAGGGGTCATCCTGGGGCGAAGTGCTCGACACGTTAGATTCGTGTTCCCTCTCTTGGAGCCTCTTGGGCTGTCTTGGGGCATTATTTGGAGCCACTTGGGGCGATCTTTGGACCGTCTGGCGCCGTGTTGGAGCGTTGACAGACCAAAAAGGCGAGAACGCTCAAATTTGTTCATAAACACTTCCTAGGAAAGTCAGTGAATGTGCGCCTCTTGGGGCCTTCGTGTGGGGGGGTCCTCCTGGGGCACTGTTGGACCGTCTTGGGGCCATCTTGGGCTGGCGAAATCTGAAAACCGGCCCCAAGATTACCCAATACGTAGAAGGAAAAGAAGCGCAGTCTGTCCCACAATCTCCCCGGCGGGGACAGGAAGAAAGATGACGGCGGGCTTCACTTCGATTCGATTGCGACCGGGCTGGCTTCACCTCGGGCTGGCGAGCTCGGAGGGTTCAAGATGGCCGCCAGGAAAGACGGAACAGTGCCAGCCGACTCGCAAGGCGCATCTCCCCGGAACACCCCTGGACGACCGGCGCAGAATTTTCCTTCCAACACGTTGACACGGTCGGCGGATTTGCGCACGTCTAGCGTTTAGCCAACGACTTTGCCTTAAGAGCCAGGATGCGTCGACGACGTGGCGCTTGAGTGTGTCAAGCTCCGCGTGTGGTTCGCAACCTCTTGCAGGCCTCTTGGAGGCCTGATAGGGGGCATCCTGGAGACCCTCAGAGGGCTCCTTGGGTTCTTCTTCAGGGCTATCTCGGGGTGAAGCGTTCCCGGGGCCCCTTCAAGTTCTTCCTTGTGGGCCCCTCCTGGGACTAGTTAGTTGGGCTTCATTTGGGCCTTCTTGGGGGCTCGGTGGGCCCTCTTCGGCGGGTCTGAAGGGGCCTCTCGGGCCGTCGTGGCTGCTCGGGATAATCACCGAAAATCCGATATTGTGAATGCCCGTCGGTCTTGAAAAGTAGGTCACGAGCGAGAAGGGGGGGGCGCACGGGGAGTCGATGAGAGCACAGATGAACGAGAACCAGGGGATGCGCAGTGTTCACTGCCAGCCCAGAGCTTCGGGGGAGGGGGGGGGCCTGGCAGGACTGAAGACCTTCTTGGTTGCTCTTGGTAGGCCCCCACGTATATTTCAGGGATGGAGTGGTTTTCTGAATGGAAAATCATTCGACCCCCTTCACCCGATCGATGGATAATCATACCAAAGTTTTGCATCGTTCACCGATGTGAGCTTTTTAGGCCAGCTTCCAAGGCTTCAATCTTAAGACTACCCCAGAGACCCCCAAGAGAGACCCAGAACGGCTTCACGGGGCCGTCTCGGAGCACCCTGATTTCGTGGATCCCATACCACGCTCCGGGGGGCGCTGGCAGAGCTCTGCGACAAGTTCCACAGCGCCAAGGAACGCCCAGGAGTATCCTGGAGTCGCTTACATCTTGGAGCTGTTCCCCTGAAAGAGTATCTACGAGACTCAGTCGTGATGACTCCACAGGGGGGCTGAGCACACTCCACTCAGTGCCCACGGCGTTGTGGAGGACAGTGTGCTGTCCACGAATACATCAGGAGCCCGAACACCTCTATTCAAATTACGCGTTTCCATGGCTTGCTTCTGATACGGCACCTTCTGGTTCAAGCTTTGAGGACCACGCGCAGAAGCAATCCCCGACGCATCCGCGGCACCAGTCCGCGGTTCGATTGCAATGGCGTTCGTGCCCCCGCCTGTGGACACCGCGCTGGCCCAGGAGGGCGAGTGCGGGCTATGCGATGAGCACATCATCCAGCTTCGGGGGCCGACCACCAAGAACACCTCGGACGCGGTGAAGGTTAGCAAGCTTCGTTACACGAACTCGTTGGACAGCGCCACCCAGTGGCGGGGCGAGCTGAAGAAGCGTCGCGTTTGCAGGCACGCGAAGTCTGCGATGTGTATGGTGTCTATGAGCATGGCCTTCCTGGTGCTGGGGTCGATCGTTGGCATCCGGATCCTGTCATGGGAAATCATCTCAAGCGACCTCACGGCGACCAGCGAGGAGGGGCAGAAGACCCAGGTGGAGCAGGTGTCGAAGGAGGTCTTGTCTTTTTTCCAGGTCGGCTCCCGGATGGCCCAGGCGACGTCGCTGATGTACAACATCTCCTTCAAGCGGGACAACGAGTCCGCTCCGCAGCAGTTCCTGAAAAAATTCGGCGTGACCCAGTGGTCGGCCCTGGTGCAGTCGGAGACGGGGCAGGACGTGCTCGTGACTCAGGCGCGGAACCCCGCTCTGTTGAGCAGTCAATCTGACCTCGACTGCAACGTGGATGCCGTCCTGCTCGGCTCTTTTTACATGTTGGACAGCGGCCCCGAGACCTCGGGGCTCCCGCAGGAGGCAAACGAGTCCACGAATCCGTGGGCGTCGTCGGGGGTCATCCTTGGCATCATCGCGGGTGAGGACGCGACTCTCGCTGCTGCGTCCGGCGGCCCGCTAGGGTTGGTCAGAGTCTTCCAGGAAGCGCCGTGCGGAGAGGCTGGATCCGGCAGCGGCGGGCCCATGTGGGAGAGCAATTCGCTCCCGGGGACCTGGGTCCCGGGCAATACCATGGACTCCTCATCTGGCCTGCTGCAGCCGCAGTGGCAGCGGAACACGTTGGTTGTCAGAGAAGGAAAAAGGGGAAGGTACCGATACCGCTACCCTTCCCTCGTTTTCGCTCGTCTGGGCATCCTGAGAGGCCCTCGTCGCCACCCACCTGGATTCGCCTCGGAATTCTGGTCAGAACGCACCCCGGGAGCGGTCCAGGGAGTAGCGGTATGGGTACCTTTTGTTTGGTTTCCCCAGGTTGACACCCAGAACGCGCTTGTGCGTAAGGCCGTCCTCTTCCCATTGCTGGGCCCGTCCTGGGCCCCAAACAGCGCCTGGGGTCGCGTGACCATCAGAGTGGCGGACTACGAGAACACCTTCGGCGAGAAGAACTTGCAGAGCATGCTCGGGGAGGTCGCGGCGACCTCGCGCGACAGCACCGTCATCTTCGTCCTCACTCGGCAGGGCGAGCTGCTTGCGAGTTCACTGGAGGGCCAGAGCATCGAGGACCTGGAGAAGAACCCCGTCGGGCTGGTCCAGGGCGACAAGGAAGGGGCGGTGATGCAACCCATCCAGCCGGTGGCCAAGGTCCTTATGGAGCGTCACTGCTCCGCCAGCGACGACGGCGAGCTCGACTGCGACTGGGGCCAGGTCGAGGTGCTGCAGTACATTGGGAAGTATGCAGTGGTGGCCAAGCCGATCGCCGACCCACTCGCCGAGGGCCTGGGCCTGCTGCTCGTGGACCTGGTGGACGCCGAGGCCATCACGGGCCGCATCGAGGAGATCAACATCCAGCTCATCTACCTGGGGCTGCCCATCATGGTCGGCGCCATCATGCTCTTCATTATACTGTCGCGGCAAGTGACGGTGCCGCTTCGGAAGGCCCGGGACAACATGTTCTTGCTGAGTGACATGAAGATCGACGACGCGGTCGCGGCCTACGCCGAGGGCAGTTGCTGCAGCCGCCCGCTGTTCACAGAGGCCGGCGACTTGCGCCTCAGCTTCTTGCACGCCGCCAGCGCCCTGAAGAATTGGCGGGTGAAGGAGATCGAGCGGCGCACGCTGCTCGAGGAGGAGCGCGCCCAGCGGATCCAGCAGACGGTAGAGAAGGCGGTGCAGGGCGCGGGCAAGTTGATGCACCCGATGGTTTTGGTGAGCGCGGAGGAGTTCTTGCAGATGCAGGAACTCACCAGCTACGAGAAGTTGCGCAGCCAGGGCAAGCTAGAGTTCCTCGACACCGAGGACGACCTTGCGAGGTTCAAGACGAACCGCAGCGTGATCTTCCTTTCCCACCAGTGGCTTGGCTGGGGCTTCCCGGACGACGAGCAGCAGACGCAGCTGAAGGCCATGAAGAGCGCCGTCAGGACCGCCGCACACCAGATGCGCGCAGCCGGCGCGAGGGGCGCGTGGAAGAACGTCTACGTGTGGGTGGACTACTGCAGCATCGCCCAGGAGCACCGTGGCATGCAGACTCTCGCCGTTTCCTCTCTGCCGGTCTACGCCTCCAGCGCGGACGTCTTCATCATCGTGGCGCCGCCCGCGAAGCACGTGGAGTCGAACAACCACGCGGATGTGAAGAAGAATACGAAGAATAATGAGAAGAGAAGAAGAAAACGAACAAGAAACCGAACGATCGTTGGGTTCAGACTCCGTCTGTGTTTCAGACTCCGCACTCTGGGTGGATCTCCTCCCCCCCCCACTCGTCGCCGTCATCCGTCGCCTATTAGGGTCAGCTTGGAGCCATCGCGGGGTCGCATCTGGATCGCGGGGTCAACTTTGGGTGCATGGGTAGGGCTATGCATCCGCATTTGCGTGAGACCATCTTCGCAATTGAGTGCCTTTGTTCAGGTCAGCTAGGTTTGCGGGGCTCGCCTCGTCTTTTTCACGCTCGGGCGCGCGTATGAACACTGCGGTCTCCGAGGCCCCTCAACAATTACACAATATGAAAATACTCTCCCACTTCCCCTGATGGCGTCCGGAAGATATTCGGCCCCCCCCCGCGTACTGTTTTTTTACACACAGGATTCCCCGGAGTTGGGTTTTCGCTTGTGTTTTTTTCTAAAATGCTGCTCTCGCTGAGGCGCCGGCCTCATTTCTGCTCCCGAATCGTTCCGAATCGTGCTCCCGCTCCAGCGTGGGCCTCATTTTCGGATCGGTGTTTGGCCTCCGTCGTTGAGGATGGCGTTCTCGCCCCAGCGCGGGCCTCTTTCTCGCGCGCCCATCCGCCCGCCACCACCGCGCCGCACCACCACCACCACCACCACCACCACCACCACCACCACCACCACCACCACCACCACCACCACCACACCACCACCACCACCACCACCACCACCACCACCACCACCACCACAACCACACACACACGCACGCACGCACGCACGCGCACCACCACCCACTACGCACGCGCGCGCGGAGCCACAGGTCCGCTACGACACGCGTCCGCGGATAGAGAAAATCAGCGCCATGGTAAGGGATGGGAGGGAGGGGTAGGACGTCAGATATGACGCGAGCGCACCTAGCTTGTCCTCCCCCTTCCCCTTCCTCCCTCCTCCATGTCATCCTCGTCCTGCCTTTTGCTCCTCTTCCGTGGGGGCTGCGAATTGCGAAACTGTCGCCACTATCGTAGGCCCTATGCAGGTCCAGCGGAGTGGTGTCCCACGACGATCAGACTGGGACCTCGCCGTCCCTGGGAGCTGCGAACTGCGCAGCTGTCGCCACTTTCGTGGGCCCCTGGGCGGTCCAGCGGAATGGTGTGCTCCTTGACGTCCTGGAGGGCTCAAGAGATTGGAGCCATAGATTTTGGAATGGCGTTCCAAACACATTCAGCCCCAGGTATTGGAATGCCGTTCCAAAAGCATTCAGCCCCAGGTTTTGGAATACCGTTCCAAACGCAATCAGCCCCAGATTTTGGCTGCCTACGCTACCTGCTCACTGCTACCCGCCGCCGTCGTCGGCGTCGGCAGGTTGAGTCCAGAACCAGGGGGAAATTGTGTTAAAGTGTTGTGGTCTTCATTTTCGGGTCGTCGTCGTCGTCGGCAGGTTGTCCGGAATCGGCGGGGGAACGTTGTTAACGTGGTGTGGTCATTTTCGCCGTCGTCGTCGTCGTCGTCGTCGAAAGGTTTGGTCCGAAACTGGGGGGGGGCAATTTGTTAACGTGTTGTGGTCTTTAGTTTGGCCGCCGTCGTCGTCGGCGGCAGGGTCAGTCCGGAACCAGAGGGGGCAATTTTTGTTTAACGTGTTGTGGTTTTTCATGTTCGCCGTCGTTGTCGTCCTCGGCAGGTTTAGTATGGAACCAGGGGGCAACATTTCTAACGCGTTGTGGTGTTTATTTAATCGCTTCGCTCATTCCGCCGGCCCGTGTTGGTGCACGGCTGTCGAGTGCCCGTGTGGTCGTTGTCAATAGGGTGCTGCTGGGTCGTTTTTTTGTTTATGGATGGCTGGCTTTGGGTGATTTCGCAGGCGGGAGCCATTCTTTGCCCGCCTGAACCTTCTGTTTCGGAAGGTGGCCGCTCGTGAATACGATCGCAGGGAACAAGACAACATTCTGCAGTTTCCTTTTCTTCTCGACTTCATCCCTCCGCTGCTATGTGTCGTCGTGTGTCAGGGGGGGCGGGGTTTGGGGGGGAGCAGGGTAGAAGCGAAAGCGTGGAAAAGGCGAGTGGCAGAGGAGGAGGAGGAGGAGGAGGAGGAGGAGGAGGAGGAGGAGGAGGAGGAGGGGGGAGAGGATGAGGAGGTGGAGGAGGAGGGGGAGGAGGAGGGGGAGGAGGAGGCGGAGGAGGAGGGGGACGTTCATTGGGATCTCGTGGGATGCCTCTCGAGAGCTTCGTGGAGACTCTCGGGAGTCGTTTTCGAGCCTCTTGGGGTCTCTTTCGGGCCCCTTGTCGTCTTTTGGGGGCCTCTTATGAGCCTTTTGGGGTGTCCAGGAGGCCTCTTGGAGCGGTGCGGAGCTGTAGGGTCGGCGGTTGGTTTGATCTAGTTTCCTTCGTCACATTCGCCACCGTGCCTGGGTGGGGGCTCTGAGGCTTCGTGGACGTTCATTGGGATCTCGTGGGATGCCTCTCGAGAGCTTCTTGGAGACTCTCGGGAGTCGTTTTCGAGCCTCTTGGGGTCTCTTTCGGGTTCCTTGTCGCTTGTTGGGGCCTCTTAGGAGCCTTTTGGGGCGTCCAGGAGGCCTCTTGGAGCGGAAGGCTCGGATTTTCGGTTCGTGGCCTCCATCTTGGGCCCCTCTTAGGGCTTTCTCGGGGTCCTCTTGGAGCGTCTTGGGCGCATCTTGGGCTGTCGTGGGGCCCTCTTGGGCGGTCTCGGGGCTCTCTTGGAGGTTTCTTGGGCCGTCTTGGGGTGGTCCTGGAGGCTTTTTTGCCTCCGTGGTGGGCCCCTTTTGGGGTCCTCTTGGACCGTCTTGGGCGCCTCTTGGGCTGTTGTGGGGCCCTCTTGGGCGGTCTTGGGGCTCTCTTGAAGGCCTCTTGGGCCGTCTTGGGGTGGTCTTGGAGGCTTCTTGGGCAGTCGTGGAGCGTCGGGGAGGCGAAACGGCGAGGAGGCAAACCACCTTGCAAAACCCATAGGAAATCAATAGTTTTGGCACTGAGGCTTCGTGGACGTTCATTGGGATCTCGTGGGATGCCTCTCGAGGGTGTTCTTGGAGACTCTCGGAAGTCGTTGTCGAGACTCTTGGGGTCTCTTTCGGGCCCTTTGTCGCTTGTTGGGGCCTCTTAGGAACCTCTTGGGGCTTCCAGGGGGTCTCTTGGAGCGGAAGGCTCGGATTGTCGGCTCGTGGTCTCCATCTTGGGCCTCTTTTGGGGCCCTCTTGGGGTCCTCTTGGACCGTCTTGGGCGCCTCTTGGGCTGTCGTGGGGCTCTCTTGGACGGTCGTGGGCCTCTCTTGGAGGCCTCTTGGGCCGTCTTGGGGTGGTCTTGGAAGCTTCTTGGGCCGTCTTGGAGCGTCGGAAAGGCGAAAAGGCGAGAGTGCCAAAAATATTGAAAAACCAAATGGAAGTCACTGGTTTTGGCGCTCTGAGGCTTCGTGGACGTTCATTGGGATCTCGTCGGATGCCTCTCGCGGGTTTCTTGGAGACTCTCGGAAGTCGTTGTCGAGCCTCTTGGGGTCTCTTTCGGGCCCCTTGTCGCCTTTTGGGGCCTCTTGGGGCCTGGCCTCTTGTGCTTGCCAAGTTCGCACTTCCTCCAGGACCTGCACCCCATCTTCCTGCAGCAGTTGTCGAGCCAGATCGATCCGTGAGTGTCCTGAGTTCCGACGCAGATACGACAACGACGACGATGACGACAACAACGGCGACGCCAGCATCTCTGGATTTTTCCTTTCTTGCAGGACCTGCACTCGTACAACTCCCGCGGGTGGTGCCGCGCCGAGATGTTGTCGAAGATCTGCAGCAGCGGGCTGGAGAACTTCTTCGTCTTGTCCACCGAGGGCGGCGAGCTCCAGCGCGTCACCGAGGACTGGCTCCCTTCCTTGTCGATGTACGTCTTCGAGGGCGAGTTCTCCTGCTGCCAGCAGGGGCACGCTCATGGGGCCTGCGACAAGGAGTCGAAGCAGAGAACACGGCATGAACACAAACGTTCGGAGGTCCGCGCGCATCTTTCGGATCGGCCTTGAAGCCTCCTGGCGACACCTCAGGCGCCGCACCTGGCGCGCTCAGAGCGCCAGAGAAAGAGGGCCCAGCGCCGATCCAAGAAATCAGCGCGGGCCTCCGAAAGTTCGTGATTAGCAGTTCCTTGCTCCTGTAGAGGAGGCGCTCGTGGAGCCAGTGCTCGGCCTCTATTCGCTGGTGCTCCGCCAGGTGGGCGGCACCGGGCGCAGCAGCAGCGGGCGCCACATGGAACAGGTGCTGCGCCACATCCGGCAGTCGAAGGAACGCTTCTTCCCGCAGAAGTACACGCACAAGGTTGCCAAGCAGGAGGGCGCGGCAGTGGAGGAACGGGAGCTGTTCGGTCCGCTCGTGGAGGCCCTGGAGCAGCACATGAACGCAGAAAAGGGCGTGCGGCGGTCGGACAGCATGGGTTCTGTCCGCAGCGATCGTAGCAACCTGTTTTGGGTTTTCTGAGCCTCGGCCCAGCGTACCGCTGCTGCTGGTCGCCTCCGCCCCAGCTTTTCCTCCTCCTCCTCCTCTTCCTCCTCCTCCTCCTCCTCCTCATCCTCATCCTCATCCTCATCCTCATAGCCGTACTGGCACAGGCGAGTTTCCTGTGCTTGCAAGCACGTATCTTCAGTGCGGCTCGTGCTTGCGGGCCAAGCTACAAAGATCGCTCTGTCTGCATCGGCCGCCACCGCCCTCGGTGGCCGATGGTACCGCTGCCTCCCGACTTGCCAGATGTCCTGCGCGGCCCCAGGGGGCCTACGTGGGCGTGCGGCGCGTGCGGGATGGCGACCGCAAACTGGGCATGCCGTGTGCGGTGCGCTTGCGGGCGGGAGGCCCCTCTGCGCATCCGAAAGGCAGCCTGGGAGAACCATCGGAAGTGGGAGAAGGAGCATGCCGCTGATGGTCCAGGCGGGCGAGGAGGCAAGGGCAAGGGCAACGGGCTGCAGCGATCGGCTCCAGCGAGTCTGGCGCCCGACCTCACCAAACGCCTTGCTGAGATTGAGAAGTTGCTGCGCGGAGGGGGGCACCCTGCTCCTTCGAGCGCGGACAAGGACAAGGAGGGGACCAGCACCAAGCCTCCCTGGAAGCCTGGTGTCGAGCCCCAGAAGGACACGAAGATCCAGGAGACGGACTCCGACGAGACCAAGAAGGCCAAGCTTGCCACCATGCTGGCGTGCTTCGAGGCCAGCTACAAGGCGGTCCCGCACGGCACCGACCACGATTGCCTGCGGGCCACCATCCAGGCCAAGATTGATGATGTGCGAGCGCAGCAGAAGGCGTTGCGGACCCCAGCCGTGGTGCACCGCCGCGCCACGGCCGACCTTCAGAAGGTCACTGCTGCGGTCACAAAGCTTGAAGCCGAGCTCACCGAGAAGCAGAAGCAGCTGGAAGAGTTGCAAGAGACCATCGCCGCGAAGCGCGCCACGCTGGCAGCCAAGAAGGTTGAGGTCACGGTGCTCCAGACTGAGGTCAGCAACGCGGCGCAGCAGCTGGGCTCGGCCACGGCCAAGAAGGATCGCGAGGACGGCGACCCGCTCAACGTCAAGCCCGAGGACATCGAGGATGAGGAGGTGCGCAACCTGCTCGGCTCCTCGGCCTGGTCGAAGCTGCGCGAACACCTCGCGGGGAAGATGCCCACGAGGGACGCGGCCATGCCTCCTGCTGATGCTCCTGAGGCTGCTGCTGATGGCGATGCTGCTGGGCCTGGTGAACACAAGCGCGCCTTGGATGAACTGGAAGAGTCCGAGCGGCAGCAGTTGTTCCAGGCTGCGCAGGCCAGCTCCGCGGAGTTCGAGAGGCCCCTCGGCGAAATGGCAGCTAAGAGGCGGAAGCGTTCCCGATGATCTTCCCCCGCTCTCAGGGCTTCGGCTTCGTGGAGGCGCAGTGCGCCAGCCCGTTGCGCCCGCGGCGCAGGGCACTTTCTTCATCGAGACCTTCAACGCTTCAGGAGGTCGCGATACGCTGAAGACCAGGCTCACGAAGTCCAAGGCGCTCATCCTCATGTGTCAGGAGATAGGCTACACTGGGGACACGCTGGAGGCGCTCCACACGTGGGCGCGCAACAGACAATGGAAATGTTCGGCCATCCCTGCGCGGAGCACTGCTGGTTCTGCCCCCTCTGGTGGAGCAGCAGCGTTTGCACGCGATGCGCTAGGCCTTCGGCACCCTGAGCACGGACAATGTCTTTGGGAGCACAGGTTGCAGCAGGTCATAATAGACATAGCCGGGTGGCCTCCGATAGCGATATTTAACGTTTACATGAAAGGCTCCATCGGCCCCGTCGGTATCAATGCTGATATCTTGTCTACTGCAGGCAGGTTGATTGCTCAATGTTCGGGGCCAACGCTGATTGGTGGAGACTGGAACATGGCACCCATCGATCTTGAGCAGTCTCTCTTTCCTCAGCACGCCGACCTGGTCTTGGCTCATCCCAGCCGCGTCACGCGTCGTGGAGGCACTGGCACGAGCAGGATAGACTTCTTCTGTCTGAATGATGCCATGGTTCGTGGGTGTCGCGGTGTGCACTCAGTCATGTCGTGGCGCAAGAAGGCGCATAGGCCAGTCCAGTTGCAGTTGGTTGACAACGGGGTTATTCTGTTTCATCCAAGCTGCCAGTTCTGCCGCCGCCTGGGCCGCTGTCCAGGCCGATCGACTGGGTGTTGCACCGCAAGCTCGCGGAGCGCACCGTCGAGCTGGCGGCCGATCCCAACAGCGATGTTGCGATGGTGTGGGCTCTGCTGACGCGTGTCTACGGCAAGTTTGCTGTGTCGCTTGCGGAGTACATCGCGCAGAACACTGGGGTTGAGCTTCGTGGGCCAGGAGCATACGCCAGAAACCTAGAGCCCCGATGGGCCAACGTGACCTACCCGTCCAAAGATCTCAGCGACGTTCAGAGTATCGGACAGGGCTGGCAATGGCTACAGAACGCTCTTACCACGATCCAGATGTTGTATGCGAAGCCAGATTCCATGATGCAGTGCTCTGAAGAGATAGCGACGTTTGCCATCTCACCATACCCTGGGCAGGGACTGAACGCGAGGCTAGATGCAACGGTTGCCCAGACCAGAGCGCTGGTCAACACGATCCCGATGGATCTGGATCAGATACAATCTTTTGTCGATGAAATTGCAGATGACGTCGCCCTGGCGGTCAAGGGGCAGGAGAAGGACTCCAATGCTGCGTGGGCCGAGTGGTGTCGCATGGCGTCGAGCGGCGGGGCGCGGCCACTTCGCCGCGCCACGAAGGTCAAGACCATCCCCACGCCGGCTGTGGCGATCGGGATCCAGGCTGGCGACCCCGTCACCATCGTCGCTCAGGAGGTTGAGATGCACCGTCGATTGTGGCAGGCTTCTGAGAAGGCGACGGGGCCATGGATCCCTGACCGCTCTATGTGCCCACTGCTCGAGCCTGATGATCTCAGGCGTGCAGCGCAGTCTTTCCCCGCTGGGACAGCGACGAGCTATGGCAACTTCCACCCGAGGCACCTCATGCTGCTGGGCGACGACGGCCTCCACACGCTGGCGCTGCTGCTCGCGGCGTCGGAGGCCGTCGGCATGCTGCCCAAGCAGCTCTGCTGGATCCAGATGCCGTTGTTGGGCAAGACGACGGGTGGCAACCGTCTTGTTATCTTATAGGTTGGCGTGTACCGTGTTTGGCAGAGAGCACGCAAGCCGATGGTAGCGCACCTGCACGCGGCCCGCGACCGCAAGTATTGGGGTGCCAGTCGTGGTCGTTCAGCCACGGATTGTGCATGGTTGCAGGCTGCTCGGTCTGAGAGCAACCAGGTTGCGCACATGTGCGGCGTGCTCATAGTGGCGGACTGGAGCAAGTACTACGAGTCCATCCCGCTGCACGGGCTCAGGGTCAAGTTCCAGCGGCACGGTGCACCGACCTGTTGGTTTAAGCTCGTGGTCAACATGTGGTCCTGCCCGAGGATCATCAGGCTCGGTCGCCACAACTCTCGGACGGCGCTGATTGCCACGCACGGCTTGCCTGCAGGTGACGGGTACAGTGACCTATCCATCAAGGTCCATGCTGTGGACGCGCTGGACACGTTCGTCGAGCGTGCGCCGTTCGTGGACTTCCAGAATTACATTGACGACACTGGGCATCACGTTTCATCCAGTGACTATGTCATCGCCAAGTCTGTGGCCGTCGCAGGCATGCATCAGTTCCAAGCCGCCAGCAAGAAGTTGAATGCTGAACTACATCCAGGTAAGCTATCCATATTGTCCACACATCGAGAGCCCGGTCGCGATGTATGCGCTGCCCTCGATCTGCCCCAGTCAGTGTGTAAGCCGAGCGTGACATACCTTGGTGTGGATGAGGCAGCGGGTGCTCGACGGTGTGCACAGCGAGCTCGTCTGAAGCAGAAGGGTAGGATAGCGCATATGAAAAAAAGCGAATTCGTAAAGTTCGGGCCATCCGAAGGCGTTTTAAGGGACCCAAGGAGACCCCCTTTAAGAAGATCTTGAAGCAAGGCGCGGCCCCTGCTGCTGGTTTCGGGGCCGAAGTCTTGGGTCTCACGGCCTCGGAGTGGCTGAGCTTGAAGAGAATGATGGCCCGCCATGAAGGGCCTGCTCATGGTGGCGTTTCGCTCGCGGTTAAGGGTGTTTTGCTGGGGGGCGGTAGTGCTCGATTTGCCATGGCCCCAGCGATACAATGGTGTAGGATGATATGGACCGCTTCGCGGCGTCCTGATCTGTCTCTGGTCTCGCACGCTGAGCTTTTGAAGCTCTGGGAGTTGTGTAAGCCCTTAGAGTGCCCTCGTGGAACAAGTCACATGGGCCTATCTCTCGGGCTGTCTTGAGTTTAAGGCGCGCGGGGTGGCGTGCTGAAGGCCCGCTGCCCTGGATCGACCACAACGGTTTGCAGATAGATCTGTCTGTCACTCCTCCAGCCCTCTTAGCAGACCAGCTGGAGGCTGGCTTGCAAAGGGAGCGTGAGTTTGAATTTTCCCGTAAGCTCGGTTTTGCTCCTGGGACCAGGGCCTCCCTCGACCTTATTCGGGACGCCGCGGGGGCCAAACGCTCGGAAGTTTAACCGTTTCCAGTAATACCTCATTAAGAGTTGCGCATGCGGCGGACTGTGGACTAATGATCGTGCGATGCGTGCGGGGTACCTGTGCGACGGGTTGTGTGAGTGTGGTGAACCAGACACAGTCCACCATAGGCTTTATACGTGCCAGCCCCAGCGTGTTGTTGATGCACGTGCGGCGTCCGAGGTCCCTGATGAATACCTCCACGCTGCGCGTGAGAGTCCCGACAACCCCATTTTCACCAGAGGGGTGCACGTATACGAAGATAGTGAGTTGCCATGCCCTTCTGTGTCGAGTGAGGTGTTTCTCTATGACGGCAATGGCAACTCGCTTGACATGGAACCTGAGTTGATTGCGGATCTCACTTCCCAGGCCCCCTTGCGTCTCGCCTCGGACGGTTCGAGCACGAAGCCTTGGATTCGACCGTTGCAGAGAGCAGCCTGGGCAGTCGCTGCGTGCCCTGATGAGGGAGAGGGCCCAGTTGCGATTGTCAAAGGCATCGTTCCAGGCGTTCGGCCGCAAACCCCAGCTATGGCCGAGCACTGCGGCATAGCCATCTGTGGCCAGATCGCCACGCGCCCTGCTGTGCTAGGTGCTGACTGTCAGGCGGCGACCAGGCTCTGTCAGAAGAATGTTCAGGATCAGCTCTCTCTCTCTCTCTCTCTCTTTTCTCTCTCTCTCTCTCTCTCTCTCTCTCTCTCTCTCTCTCCAATAAGTTTGCAGGAGTGCGCGCTTTTGCGCACCAGCCCGAGGGCGCCGATCCGATTCAGACAATTCGGCGCGTCAAGGCTCATCGCGATGAAGAAACGATCCAGAGCCTCGAGGGCGAAGAGAAAATCGCTGCTGCTGCGAATGCTGCTGCGGGCTGCCATGCAAAAGATGGTCTGAATATGCACCCATCTCCAAGGCAAGATTTCAGCAGTGAGTTGAATCTAGCAGGCCAGCGAGCTGGGTACTTCATCAAGCTTGCTGCACAGGTGCTCCCTCTTTTTGAGCACGAGGCGCGATGGGCAAGGCCCCATGTCTTCAGCGCACCGAGATCACGGCGACAAGTGTCGTGGCATGATTGGCAAAAGAATGACCTCGGCTTCCAGTGCAGAAAGTGTTTCCGAGTTGCTGAAGGCAGTCACGACTCCGCCCCGATGGACGGTTGCCCAGGGTTGCCGCCGTTCCTCCGAGGTCTGCTCCGTGATCCCATGGGCCATAAGCTTGTCGCCATGGCTGGACCGCCCTCGAAAGCTGGCGGTTCGGTGTCGTGTCGGCGCTCGTCCAAGGAGCCGATCCTCTGCATACGCTGTGGGGGCTGGTCTCAGGGCCGCGGTTTAAAGCTCGGGCAGCAGTGTGGGGTCCCGTCACGTAAAGGGTTGGAGATTTTGGCTGAGTTCAGGAAGGGAAGCTGTCCGAACCCACGCGTTCGGGCAGCCATCGATCGCGCGGTTCCGCTTTCAAGGCTTGGCCTTTCCGCCGACCCTCCTGAGCCCGAGCCTCCAACTGTTGTCAGGACCTCACACTCGGGCTCCCTGTCGGCCCCCTCTTATGAGCAGCGTATGTCAGCTCTTGTTGAAATGATTCGCGTAAAGGAACAGGCTAAGGCAGCTAGTTCCCTATCGTGAGTCGCTTTAAGTTTCAGTTTAGATCAATTAAGCTTCGCTTAATATTTAGTGCGGTGCACTCCCCAGCGGGTCTTTTCATTCATTCATTCATTCATCCTCATCCTCATCCTCATCTTCCTCCTCCGTAGCCATGTTGGCTCAAGCCATTTTGGCTCACATAAACAATCTCTCGAGGTTGGTCCAGGGAGACCCAGCTCCTCAAGGCCCCGGAGACGCCCCATCGGACAGGGGTTCTCTTCTTTCCAGTCCCACACACAGGTTCTCTGCTTGCGTATAAAACATGATCAATCGATCCCCGTTGTCGTCGGCGCCATAGGTAGGAAGGCGGTCAGCCGATTGCAACTGCGAGTCCTGGAGATAACATAACACATGATTGAGGCCACACCCATATCCCGCGTCAGCCGCACCTTCGGGACACGCACCACGGAATCCAGAGAGGGCCGCTTCAATCCCGAGCACGAAGGACGCGCCAGGCTGGGCGGACGTTTGGATTGCCATGTCTGCCGACCCGCTTCGAGGCAAGGTGACGGTCACGTACCGCCGAGCTGACATGGTCTTTAGACCGCAGGACTGCCTGGCCCTTCATCGGCGCCGTCTTCGACGGTATGGGCACCAGCTATGCGCGAGCCGGTTTGGCCTTGGATCGAGTGGAAGACCCCTGGAGCACGTCGCACCAGGATCCGGCACCAGGACCTTCGGCCATTTGGAAGACCCGAGGGGCGTGCAGGCCACCGCGCAGACGCGACAACGCCCAGACATCTTCGAGGCCTTGCGACACGTATCCTGCAGATGCTTCCAGCTGCCTGACGTCTGCTGCATGCGTCTATCACGCGGCCAGAAATGTGTGGGCGGCTGGCCAAGCTGCACCCACAGCCTAGTCATCTGGTGGACCCGTTAGAGCAAAGGTGATATTCGACAGATTCACGTCGACGGCGTCAGGATCGACAGCCATGTGCTCATTGGCGGAAATGTGAAGGAATCTTGCGTCATCCAGTTCATTATTGGTGACGAGACAGTGGCAGCAGATGCAGGACAAGGTCTAGATGGAACGCTCGATGACTATGTCGCTACCGGCACCACTGAGGGAGGACCCCCATCAGTTCGGCACGAAGTCAGTCGAAGGGTCAAAGGATCTGACCCAGGAGCTGGAGGAGCTGGAGAGCGGCGACAGCCGGCAGATAGTCTACGCGGCCGTCGAGCACGCCGCGGCCGGGCCTGGCCACCGGCCACGCAGGTGGCCCCAGCATTTAGAGACCCAGCACTGGCGCCTGGGCATCCACGTGCAGCGCCAATGCTACTTGCGAGGTGCCGCCCTTGGACGACTACGCCTCGCTAGAGGAGGGGGACGGATAGGGGGCGCATGCGGAGTTGCACCTCGGCCCAGGGGCGCGCGAAGCATTCCAGCTTCAACGCGGAAGCGTCCGGCAATTATGTTGCCAGCGGTTCTGGGGCAGCCGCGAGCGACGCGCGCGCCGCCGCCAAGACCGCGGCCATCTTGCGAGACGCCAGCCTCCTGGCCAACGAGGAGGCGTCGAGGCTGCCAGAAGGAGTGGCAGCAGCCGTCCTCGAGGAGCTCACCATGAGGGCCAAGCGCAAGTGTTTCGAGGGTTTCGAGGGGCGACAGCCCAAGTGCCCTCGAGATCGGGCCCCGGGCGCGTCTTCGATCGGGGGCGCCAGAAGGGGCCCGACGGCAGGGCCGCGACGATTACCCGGCGGCGCACGGCGCCCAGAGGTTTCCGCGACGCGGGCGCCGGCACCTTGAAGACGTTCGCGAGTGCAGCGAAGCGCGCTTCTCAGTGCGAGCCGCCCTCGGAGGCGGCGCCCCGCCCGGACTGGGTCTGCGCCGGCGCGGGCGTCGAAGGGTTTCTTCGCGGGACATGGCCATCGCGGAGGCAGAGGAGCAAGGCGAGGCGCCGCGCGGGGTGCACTTCACCCTGCCGCCCGGCAGCAAGGCCACCCTCAGGCAGGCGCCCGGCCGCGAGTCTGCTGATGAGCAGGCCGACCCCCCGCGCTGCATCAAGCCAGGCCGAGCTTTCTCTGGAGAGCTCGCCCGGGCCACGCGATCGCCCGAGCCCGGCGCGAATCCCGCAGGCGGGGCCTGGAGCTCGAGGTCAAGCGCGAGATGACCGGCGCTCGCGTCGCCGGCGACTCGAAGCGCGTGCTCTTTCTGCCCAAACAGGTTAACAACCGCAAGATCTGTATCCATGTCGAGAGCGTCTGCGGCAATATGAAGGGCGACTTCACCGACCGCGCTCGGGGCGCGCCGACGCCGCGTCGCCGACGGAGCAGCGACGCTCGATTCGGAAGAGTATATCGACGCCCTGCCCCCGAACAGGCACGCCGACCTGGTTCGGCAACGCCCGACGAGCCGACCAGATTTCAACTGCCAGACCTCACGCCGTTGGCAGCAGCAGCAGCGCACGCCTTGCTTGCCCAGCCCCGCGCCGCCGCGCACGTTGCGGCGTGCCTGCCGAGGGCCGAGAACAAGCTGATCATGCGCCATGCGGTGCAGCTCAACTCAGCACGAGCCAATGACCTTCCCTGCCGCGGAATGCGCCGGCCAGCTCGGCGCGCGCAACGACGGTTCCTTCAAGAACGAGGAGACTGGGCACGGCATGCGAGGCGCCGTCTACGCGCGCCCGGGCAAGCGCCACAACGCACGCCGGCAAGGAGGTCTGCCACTTGTTCGACGCTGCGAGCCGCCCGCACAGGCACACTTGCGCGCAGATCTTCGTTCGGCCCCGAGCTGTTCGCGGCCTGCGGCGCAGCTGGCGGGCTACAGGCTACAGGCCTATGTCCTGACGCTCCACCGGACGGTCCGTGGACCCGCCTCAGCTGACGAGATCGGCGAGCCGAGAGAGGATGGCGGCTACGCAGCGCCGGCAGCACACGTCGCGCACAGTTTGTCCATGTTCGCGGCACTAGCCATGGACCTTGCTCGACCGCTTTCGGAGAACGGCGTGACCGGCCAAGCCACTTGCGGTGGCTATCCGGGATCTCCGATCAACATCGCACCCAGCAGGTCGTGGACACGCTTTGGCTCGATGCGCGGGACACGACGGCCGAACCCATGACGAAGGGGAGCATCGGCCGCGAATGCGTTTTCGACATCATGAACGGGAAGCCCAGCTACGACCACGACGCCGTCAAGCGCAGCGACGAGCGGCGCGCGATGACCGTGCCCAGTTCCCGTCCATGCAGTCTCACCAAGGACACGGGAGACCAGAGTGACTATGTCAAGCGATGTCAAGGAAGGGCGCAAACGCTCGCATCTCGCGAACTATGTTCGCGAATGCGACGTCGCGAAACATGCATGTGAGAATGTGGTGTACATGAGCTATGTTCGAGGGGTAGCAGGCTACTGGAAAGTTGAGCATGCAAGTGATTCAGGCGTGGATCCATCAACACGTTGCTGCCAGGCACCTTCACCTGAGGTTTCGTTGGTTGCCGCACGGCTGGCGTGCGGTGACCCACGAGGCACGAGGAGCACCGGTCTCGAACGGTATTTCTAGCCCATATGCGTGCTTGTCCGCCGCCAGTTTGTGATCTTTGTCGCGCCCCTTCGACGTTCACTCTACACCTTACGTCTGATGTACTACTTACTGAAAGCATCCGTGTCCATCCACTTTCTCATTGTTTAGTCTTCTCCTCCGCCTCCTCCTACTCCCCCCCTCCGTTTCCTCCCCCCCCCTTCCCGCCCCCATGGATTCAAAGATGTCCAGTCTGAGGCAGACTTGCACGGACGCCTCCGAAAAAGGATGCGCCATTTGATGCTTCAGTTTGTTTTCGCGTTGTGCCAGGCAACCTCCACCTGAGGGGTTCCCTGCGCAGCGGGGCCTCGGCGGTCCAGCGGGGAAGGGATGTGATAAGGCGGGTGGGTGGGTGGGAGGGGGACGAACAAGGAGAGAGGGAAGGATTAGAGATACAGGTACAATGGCCCACAACAAATGTTTTGCAAAACCGACAGCGGCCGCTGTTGGCCAGGTGGTTTTCTCAAATGGTCAACGTGCGTGGCGGTTCAACAATAACAGGGACAGCCGTCGGTTTTTTGTGCCCATCCTTCTCTATCGCAAAAAGAATACGCGGAGGAGGGAAACAAAAAGGAGGAAGGTAAGAGGCGGGAGCCTTGCCGCTCAGGCGTCAGCGTCTGTTTGTCCACAAGCGACGGCAGAGGAACGTTTCATCCCCAGATCTCCTTCGCGCGAGGAGGCATGCGGCGGCGTCGCCCGCCACCGGCGCGCAGAAATATGATGGCACGAGTCCAACAGGCAGGCGCGCCGCGCGAAGCCCGCCAGGTGAGCCATGAACCGCGCAGGGGCGAAACAACAAACACACATGATAATGGAAACCAGCTTCCTGCCAGCCTTGGTTTTCTGGCCCCCCCTTTCACCGCTCCTCCTGGCTTGCCGCTCAGCAGCTCTGGTCCGCTGACGATCTGCGGTCGCCGCGATGCACCCGCATACGGCAGCGGTTTCCTCCCGTCTTTCCTCTGCCCGTTGTGCTGTCTTCCAGTCCCTCCGCGTAGGGATCGGCCCTGGTACACCCGAAGGGGATACTACCGTAGATGATCCCCGGTAGGAGTCGACAGTCACCCCCCAGATGGGATGAGAGCCCACCTTCTCTGAGGGGATGGGACGGGGGAAAACGACGACGACGGAGACGACGACGACGACGGCGACGGCGACGGCGACGACGACATGGACACCGACGATGACGACATGGACACCGACACCGACACCGACACCGACACCGACGGCGGCGGCGGCGGCGGCGACGACGACGACGACGACGACGACGACGAAGACGACACCGATGATGACGATGACGACGACAATGACGACGACGACGACGACGACGACGACGACGACGACGACGACGACGACGACGACGACGACGACGACGACGACGACGACGACGGCGGCGGCGGCGGCGGCGGCGGCGGCGGCGGCGGCGGCGGCGGCGGCGGCGGCGGCGGCGGCGGCGGCTGCGGGGGTGGCGGCGGTGGCGGCGGCGGTGGCGGTGACAACGACGACGAAGACCTCGACGACGATGACGGCGACAACGGCGACGACGCCACAACAATTCCTCCGTTGTGGCAGACAATTTCGCAACACCGCAGCCAAAACAGGACTAGAGCCTTGGACCCCATCTGCCAGCTCCAGTCGGATCGATCTGTGAGGGTTCCAGGGCCCGAAATCATGCAAAATCGTCTGTTATGAAATTCGCTGGGCGAAGCGCCCAACCATATTCAGCTGCGTGTAGCGCACGGCGCGGACTTCTCTTCATATTCTGCGCGCCGCGGGGGAGCGCTCATCAAGGGCTACGGAGCAGGCGAAAGATCGGTGAGCTCCCTGTGTGGGGGGCACGATCCGCGTGAGGGGCGTGGCGAATCGGGCGTGGGCACGTAGGGAGCGCATGCGGACGCACCGATTGGTACCTTAGGGGGCTTCAACAACGTGGCGAGCGAGAGAGGCGTGGTCAGGCATACGAGCCCTGCCACTGAGGCCTTCCGTGGAGCTCCTATGGGGCCACGAAACGTGACCCGTGCCAGAATAGGCGTGGTCAGGCATACGAGTCTTGCTATGTGGACCTGTGGAGCTCGGACGGGGCCACGAAGCGTGTGAGGGGTGTGCCAGAATGGGCGTGGTCAGGCATACGAAGCCTGCGTTTTGGCCTTCTTTGGAACCCCTACGGGGCCACAAGGCGCGTGAGGGATGCGCCGAAGCAGAGACCTGCGGAGGGCGGAGGCAGGGATGTGGAGGAAGGGGGAGGGGGAGGAGAAGAGGAGAGGAGGCCAGACGCGCGTCGCTGCGGATTCAAAGCGAAAACCCAACACAGCAGGATGGTTGGGAGACGTTGCAACGCCCGAACCTGCTGATGCTGCTGTTGTCGCTGATGGTGATGATGATGATGATGATGATGATGATGATGATGATGACGATGCTGATGCTGATGATGATGATGATGCTGATGCTGATGCTGATGCTGATGACGATGATGATGATGATGATGATGATGATGATGATGATGATGATGGGGAGGATGAGGAGGATGAGGAGGCTGAGTATGAACATGACGATGAGGGTGCTAATGCTGACGATGATGATGATGACGATGTTGGTGATGAGCATGGTGCTGATGATGGTGATGTTGATGGTGATGGTGATGGTGCTGATGCTGATGATGGCGTTGCTGGTGATGGTGGTGTTTACG